GTGCAGATGCAAAAAGACAAAGCCGACGCTCTCAACATACCTGGCCAAGAACTACAGCTACAGTAAGTGCATGGGGGGGAAACCCTTTGCTTTGCCTGTCCCCCCACCCTCTGCGCCCCCCATGAATTAGGCAACGCCATGTGGGTGCTGCACCCACGCCAAGCCCCGTCCAGCAAGAGCGGTGAGAGGCCATCTCTCCACCACAGCCTTTCCAAGCGGGTTTTTCCCCAAGGGCACCTAGCCGTCCTCTTCTGAAAGCCTCTGCTTGCGCATGGTAGTAGTCGTGGAAACGACGGTGTGTTTCTGATGAAAGCAGTGAAATGTGGGTAACGTGCCCTGGGATCAACGGGTCACTCTGCAGAAACGGTGTTTGCTTCTGTGAAGGTCACTCTGTAGTTAAGTGCAGTGATGTCTGATGTGAGCGTGACCACACGCTGCTTGGCCAGCCTGTTTTTGTCCAGCAGGTGGAACAGATAGAGGTTTGTCACCTAAATAACTGGTAAACGTGAACAAAGCTGAAGCAAGGTACAAAGTTATTGCTTACAAGCGCGTGTATTCTTTTACTTACTAGCCAGAGTTTTGTCTGGTGCAGAATTGGCACAGGTTAGTTGAATTCAGTGGCAATTTGCACCAGCCAGCCGAGGAGCTGGCTGATGGTTTTCTGATGTGTTGCGTAGACATATTGGCACTCTAAGTAAGTATTTACCTCTCTTCCTCCCTGGCTCCCCTCCCCATCCAGTTTTCTGATGCTGGGAGTTGGGAAGAAGTCTGATTAAGGTTAGATAATATCTGTAATGCCAATCGAAAACCCCTAGAAACGATGAATTTAACATGCAGTATCATGGTCTTTGTGTACTTTATGGGCTTTTTCTCAGATAGAAGTTGTTTCTTCAAGGCATGTGTTCAGTTCTTATGCAATAGGATTATCACATCCAGTCAATTCCTGTCTGTCTGATATCAAATGAAAGCAAATTTGTAGTTATTTGCTTCTTTGTTGGTGTAGGGGAAAAAAAAATCCAAACCCTAGTTCGGTGGGAATAAGCAAGCTGAACATCTAACTTAAGCAATTTTACACTTTTTTTGTCATGGCATTTTGGTGCGTTTACGTTATATATCCTCTTTATACGATTCCTTAATCCACCTCAGTACAACATAGTGATATGCTCAGGTGGGATGATGAACTTCCGCAGTCGTCGGAAATATATGAAAGAGCAGTGATATAAATGATTCCAAAATTAAATACAGGTGCTAGCCGTACAAATTCTAATTAGAGAGACTTCAGGGGAGCGTTGCTTAAATAAAAACTGTAGGTGGGGGTGCAAAATTTAATACCAGTGAATTTGCAAAATCAAGATTTTGGTTTTGAGAGGTAGATTTTTCTTCAGTCTCCTCTAAAATAAACAGACATGTTCGTATGGAAAATGAATTGGGAGACAAGACAAGGCAGAACAAGTTGCAAATAAAATCAAAAAGTTTTCTGAAATCCTTTAAAATAATATTTACAGCCAAATGGTATTTCAAAATTTGGTTTGAAACAGACTTGAAAATGGATTGTGAGTCTCTGAAACTGCAATTCCTCAGGAGTTTTGTGGCTGTTACACATGTCCTGATAAAAGTTAGCGCGTAAACCCCAGACTGCATTAAAATTTCTGGTCTCTAGTTTTCTACATGTGAAGTTTATTCCAAATATTTGTAGGTCCAGGCTTTTGACCTGGTGGCTGCCAGTGGGAGTGCTGGTGCAGGCTGATGGTCTGCTGCTCGGGCTTCTTTCACAGAAGAATTTCGTTACAGTTTGACAATTAGACCCTTCCTATTTTGACATTTCCTAGAGACAAAGTCCTGCACGTAAAATCTCGTGCTTCCTTTCTCTGATTTGGTACTTCCCACAGAGAGGATGGGTGAAATGCTGCAGTGGTAGGCACTGCCAGGCTTTGCAGGAACAAAGTTAGCCAGGGAACACCCTCAGAGCAGTCTACACAGTGTCACCTTCTTGGATCCATGCAGACATGCAGTTTTCCTCAATAAAAGGTAAAAATACAGATTTTTGTGTATTCAGAGTCAGAAGAACCCTTTTCAGAGTCTGTTTGATATGAGGGTGTTACTACTGATGCATAATCCAAAGGCAAAAGCTGGGAAAAGGTATAAATGGGGTAAATCATGAAAACTCTAAGCCTCTGAGTTTTTGACCACTTGTTTCAAACCTTCCCTTCTTTCTTACGCTTAAGAGAAGACTTTAGTTCCTGGATGCAACCCATAGGGAAATGATTTTATTGTTGAAAAGACTGGATTCTATGATTCTTGCTAACCATCTGCGAAGTAAATAATTTGTGACTTAATGGGAAGTAGCCAGATGTGGGTCTAGAATGGGTCCGATGTATGTGAGGGGTTGTTCAAGTTCTGAGTCAAAGGAGCTGTTTGTGCATGCAATTCCAGGCATGATTGGGCAAAAATTTAAGCATATGTTTTAATTTCACAGTTGTCAACAGTCCTACTGAAAACCAGATTGGCATCAGGCCTCTGTTACTCTACGCCGCTGTGCGTGCCCACGTACGGAGTAGTTCTAGTTTCACGAGCGAAACCACAGCTTTCCGTTTGATATGTTCTATTTAATTTTGAGATATGTTTAAATTCCTAAGACCGTTTGTTGTTCTCACACCTCTGTTTTCCTTATTGCAGTCATTCACGCCAAAGTAAAGAGCGTAGAAAGAGGGAACTGCAATGAGGTAACGACTGTGGTTGAAGTCAAAGACATACTCAAGTCTTCAACGCCAATTCCTCTGTCTCAAGTGCCGCTTCTTACGAATTCCTCCTGCCAGTGTCCACCTCTTCAACCGAAGCAGGATGTCCTCATCATGTGCTATGAATGGCGCTCCAGGTGAGCCCTGGCGATGTGGCGGAGAACTGCTATAGTTGGCTGTGATAGAGGGGAAGGAGGACCAGCAAAGCTCCCTTCCTCATCATGGGTGTGTTTTCCTGGTAGTTTTTCATAGGATAACTCACACATACACCATCATGTTTCAGTTGCCTTCACAATTAACTTTTCCCACTTAATCAGCTTCTGCGCCACGATGCAGTGTTTACAACAGCTGGCTCGTACATGGAGCCTAAGCTCTGGTGGCATTAGGTGCTGGCAACATATTGCTTAACGCATCATGCAGCAGTTCAGGCATCTCCAGCTCTTTGGGAGTGTTTTTCCAGAACCTCTTTCCATAGATACATGGTGCTTCATGTGCCACAATCCCGATGGTGGCTGTAGATGCTGGTCCGTGTTGGCAGGACCACGTGGAAGGCATAGTTCTGCCTCACCGACCTTGGGGGAGAGGACAGGAGATGATACACATCTCCTGTCCGCAGAGCTGCTGGAGACAGAGCAAGGCCTTCTCTGCCTGCTTATCCATACTTGGGACCAGTGCCATCAGCGAGATGTTTCTGATCCCACAGCTGTAACCGGGATCAGCCAAAGCTGCAGCCATCAGAGCTCTGGCTCCCGGTTGGTAGATGAAAAGTAAATACTCTCAGAGCAGCTTGCCAGTCCTGCTGTATGATTAAAAGACAAAACAAAACTCACTTTAGCAGACCGTTCATCTGGCAGTCGTCCTAGCCCCAGGGCATGGAAGGAAATCCAGCATGTTGGTCTGGAGGGGAGGAAGTGATGAATCACAGCTCCCTTTTTTTCTCCGGGTTCTTGAGGCAGAAGGGGACGTCCCATCCCCATCAGCATCCCAAGCGTGCTGGTAGCGGCACAGGCCAACAGGAGAGGTTGTGGTGGGGTGGGTACGTGTGGTTCTGTGCTTCAGGGCAGAGGAAAGGCTGTTCATAAAACGTGCAGGTTGGTTTTGCATCCAGTGATGCGACTGTTAATTGAACATGTGCACTTGTAAGGACCTTAGAACATCTACGTGCAGAACTTGATGGACCATATCCATGTTATCCATGAGTTTTATGTTGATATTTTAAAAGCATTTTATACGTGTTTCTAAAAGTTGCCATCTGATACCTTATGACCTTAACTGGTTTTGGTGGGCTAACAGGCACAGTGTTTTGTTGTTACACAGCACCTTGCCTCTCCAGATCTGGAAGTATTTCACAAAGATTAATTTAGAGCCCTCTACTTGTGTTAGACGTTTTAAGGATACATGCTCAGAGTCACACAGAAGGACCGTGACCAAGATTGCAACTGAGGAGCTCTGAGCTGCAGATGGAGAGGACCATCAGGGGGTTGTCAGGGTGTGGAGATTTCAAAAGTGAAAAATTGCAAGCTGTTTCTCCATTATTATGGAAAAACACACCATTCACTAAATATTTTGTGATGGTTTTTAAAGGTCACTGAGGTTTTTAATTTCATAGAGTGTACTGAAATGGATTTGAAAAAGAAACATAAACTAATTATTATATGTGTTTCCTGTTGAACTCATTGGCATGCAAACAGAAGGTTTTGAGTTACAGGAGCTTTTTAAAATGTCAGAGGCAAAAGGAGTGGAAGCTGTAGCTCCACTGAAGTCAACAGCAAAACACTCATTGCCCATCAACAGGGTTAGGGTCTCACTCAATGGTGTGACCTGAACAGAAGCTGCATCAGATGTATACTGTGTTGTGGTTTCATTCATGGTGATACATTAATTCTGTAACCTCTCCTCAGAAAGGAGATGTGTATCATATTGATCTTGATTCGCCAGGGCTTGTGCTCGCTGTAATCCTTTTATGTTCCTTACTGGAACAGTTTTCCTGGAGAAGTTGTGGCTGCCCCATCCCTGGAAGTGTTCAAGGCCAGGTTGGATGAGGCTTTGGGCAACCTGGTGTAGTGGAGGGTGTCCCTGCCCATGGCAGGGGCTTGGAACTAGATGATCTTTGAGGTCCCTTCCAGCCCTAATCATTCTGTGATTCTGTGATTCTATGTTTGGGCAAAGTGGCTAATGACTAAGAGCAGCAGCATTTTGTACTCTTTTTGAACTGGTATGGGCAGCAGCATTGTTCATGGAAACTGGAGAGTCAGGTCCTGCTATGCTGCATAAATCTCACCCAGCAGCAAAGCGCTGTGATCAGATGATGTGTTACCGTTCGTCAGCTAAGCTGTATTAACAGGTGCATGTAAAACCCAGCTTCTTTTTTTTTTTAAATTCCGAAGAAAAATATATTAATTTAAAATACTTTTCTGCGCGCGCACACACACACACAAACATATAGTGGGCATAAGTAAAAATATATGTACATACACATTTCAATGTTTTCCTGGGATATTATCCAACCCATTGCTTTTCGTTAACAGTGATCAAGAGCGGACAATTTTCCCCTGCAGAATAGCTGCAGGTGAGGACAAAGGGCTCTAAATGTTTTCTCAGCATCAGTCATATGCTGCAGTTTTGGCTGTAAAATCTGATTTCTTTTGAAAGCTGTTTTCTATTTTTACAGAGTTGATGATAGAGTTTCAGAAGGAGCAGTATAAGCATTTAGAAATCTGTTAGAAAGCATTTAGAGATGGAGAAAAATATTTTTGTGCCTATCACCCCATACCCAGAAACTGTCAGTACCAGTGATGCTGGTGCATTTCAAGCTCAGTCTGTGTTAAGTCATCTGGAATGGCATCTCAGGAGTCAAACCCAGAAATACCAGTAAGTTGTATCTATTTCTTAATTTTCAGATTGATGCTTCTTGATGGATGTCTCGTTGAAAAATGGAAGGATCAACTAAACAAAAGATTTAAGGTAAATACAACCAAAGAAAAGAATGCTGATATTCTTGATAAAAAGTTAGACACCTTTGTTCTACTTCAGCATTGAATAACTTGCGTGACTTTCAGAGATCCATAGCACCTCTGGGTACTATTATTTTCACTTCAACATTTTCATACCCCGTAACTACATATAAGTGTAAGTGAAAAATCTGAAAATTTTAGTATTGCATTTTAGGGTCTCTTAAATTTTATTTCTATTTCATCTGCAAACTGTCCCTAAATAGGATGGTTGGATGGTCTTTGCATGAACCCTGGCTTATTACCATAATGACTCTGGGAATTCCTTTCCTATCACTGCTAAGGCAAGTAACTGTCAGATGAATTTACAGTCCACGTTAGTTAAGAAAGGAATTTAACATCCACTGCACTGGATAAATAGGCTTTCTTGCCTTAAAGTTTGAAGGCACGAGACACAGATTTTCACCAGCTATTTCCCACTAAAGACTCAATGAAAGTATTGGGCATCCCTTCACTGGCTTCAGGGAACATTGGAAGGAAAAGTCTATTTTATAGAGACCTGGGAGGCAGGAGCAGCAGGTGCCCCTGCTTCTTGGGGCTTCAGGATAGCACTTGGTGTTGCTCCCTGCTTGCAAACTCCTCTTTATAAAGGAAAGAAAGGGCAGATCAAGACAATGTCTGACTGTTCCTCACACTATTAGAGGTGGAAGAAAGTTATTTCTGTAATTTAGGAAAGGTTTCAGGGCATGAAGGACATGCATGTATATTTATTTTAATTATGGGCTGATTGGCAATTGATAGAGAGGAGGAAAAAAGATGCTTCTCTCTAAAAGGAGAAGCTTTTAGATTACAGAGCAACTTCTTGTAGGATGTTGTGTTTGATGCTTTCATCATTCCCTTTTCTCCTCACTTACTGATGAAAAACCTAAGTGTGGAAAAGAAAACATGCTTTAAATCTTTAAAAAATAAACATATTGCAATTGCAGATGATATCATGTGGGGTTTAGGAGAATATTGACATATGACTTGGACTCTTGAAGTCCCTTAGCTGTCAACTTAATGGACTGTTACTGGCACACAGCATGTTTTAGTGGCCTCCTCACACTGTTTTGTCATTTCTAATTGTGTCTTGAAACCTGCCTGGAGGTTCATTTCCAGACTGTCAAATAGATGCATGACTGCCAAACAAAATGCTTTTCAAAGCATGTGTCATTCCCTCTGATATTAATAGTTTCATAAATTAAATCCTCATTTAAACATGTTTGAGTGGGGTGCACCTACATGGCTGCTGATAGTTTTTGGTTCATGAAGATGTGTGTAATGACTCTGACTACGCAAACATGGCCAGTATGGGGCTAGGTTTCACAGTGGCTTTGTTTTAATGTCCATCACTCATCTCTTGAAGACTTGCATCCAACTTTTATCTTGAGTTACCACTTAAAGTGAGTGTTTTGAGCTGTCTATGGACCACAGAAGACATCTGTTAACATAACCACAGCATGGCTGGCCTTTTCTCTAGCCAGGGCAAGATTCCGAGTAGCAACAGGGTCAGTGCAGAGATACTAAAGAGCAGAGCTGGAGAGCACTCTCTTGTTCTGATCACTGGGTAAAGTCCCTGCCTTTGGGAGTTTCTAAAGAGAAAGTCCATTAATAGAGGGGAAAGATGAGATCCCTTCCAAGTTCTATTATCCACCTTACTTTCCTTAGAATTTCTGTTCCTACAGCTGAAAGATTGCAGTCTCTACTGCACTGTTGTTGATCTCTCCATACTTTGGACCAACTAACCACTTAACCTCACTGTAAAAACCTGTTTTCTAACCACTGCACTTTTGGGTTTGGAAATCTGACAGCTATTCTCTTTGGCAGATTCATTGATCTAATTACATTTCAAAATGTCTCAGGGATGCTGCTGAATAAAGCCGCAGGTGAATTATTCACAACTGTCCCGTTGCAGCTCTGAACACTCTGATTTCAGTGGTCACCTACCTTGTCTGTCCATAACATAAGCTCTTTTATGGCCAGTCCTCTCCACTCCAGGGAAAATCAGAACCAGAAAGTAAATACCACCTTTCCTTGTAGCTGTGTGTTTAAACGTATATTGTGAAAGGATTGCTTGCTTCCTGCAGACTTTCCTGAGGAAAAGTCAAGGAGCACGTTCCGTGAGACAGCAAGGAATGGGTTTGCCAAGGATTC